TGAAATGCCTTGCTGCTGAAATTTGGTATACAAATTTACAATGACCAATCATGTTGGTCATTTGTAAATTTGCATAGCAAATTTTATTTTGCTATGCAAATGACCAACATGATTGATTGTTGGTCATGATCTATTTTCAATCATTTAGAAATATAGTAGACTGTTTACACACATATGCTACATCAAGCCTAAAAACCCAAAACTGTAACGAACTGAATGTTCTGCTCTATGTGGGGTAATGTTTGAGAGTTGTTGGTCCTGAATCCTGATAATAAAGTTGCGTTGTTGTCAGTTGCTATGGCAACGAGTCTACGTGCATCGTAAAGCCGACAGAGAGAGAGAAAGAAGAATGAGTAGTTTTGAGTTATTTTCCCATTGCATATCACTAATTGGATCCTACCAAGTCTCCAGGTTTCACTTTCACGGACTGGGTCCACCGGCTGTGAACGGCATGTAAAAGAATAGTCTGATTAGGGGGGAAATAAATTTGTGGAACAACCTTAAATGGCAATAGTTTTACAACATTTCTTGCAAATTACCTCATTTTGTTCGACATCCTCCATATAAAATCCAAACTACTGCCAAATTATTGACAGCGCTGTTTCTGTTCAGAACTAGACTAGTTCATCTGACTCCTCTTCAGTTTCCGCCTCAAACTCCCGCGGTCACCATGTTGTTTGGTTTTCAGGTTGAGAGGGGGGAGGGACTAGTGATGCATTCATAGGGTGTTGGATAAACCATACTCGCAGTGAATTTGACTTCAAAAGTTTATCATTTGAACGACAATTTATACTCGATAGTTGCAATATAGCCATTTTAACTATCATACATTGAAAATATCGCAATACATTGAATATACTCGATACATCGCCCAGCCCTACATCAGACCCAACTGTTTCTATTCCAACATAGATCTATGCCTTGCAGACTCTAAATGTGAATTACTGGAGCTGAATGAATCCAGAGGGATTCCTCAGGGCGGCGTCCCAAGACTCCTACCAGATCAGATCTGCACACCCAGATAAAACAAACATGCTGATCCAGAACCAGCCAGACGTTCTAACAGGTTCTGGTTCTGGACATCCTGTCTTACCTGGGAGTCCAGGTCGATGAGGCTGACCGCCTTGTCCTCCACCTGCAGCAGCATTTCCTGCGTCCACACCTTCCCCTTGGCATCCAGCAGGCGCAGGCGCCGTACGCCGTCGTCCACCGTGATCATCCCATCTTTCCGGTCCAAAACGAACGTGGTGAGGTGCTGAGAGACGGAGAGGTTCCTGAAGCTTCAGCAAACCCAACCAGCAGCTGGAGTCGGACCAGAACCAGCAGAACTCACCTCCACCTGGTACTGCGACGTGTCGGTCAGGCTGTTGATGCTGCTTCTGGAGAAGTTCTTCCTTTGTTCTGAACAAACAACACATTCATTCAGTTTGGGAATTTGATAAGATCATTCTGCAGGACGTTCTGACAGCAAGTACGGAAGATGGTTAGGGCCAAAAAACAAAACAAAAATCCTAATAATTCTGGGTGAGTCTATTCCAAAATCCAAATAAGCATTCTTAAACGTCTGTCAGATATGTTGCCAGCATATAAACTTATGAATATAAAAACTATTTATTCCTGGTTATAGGATTTGTAAACCTGAATTTTATCCACACCAAAAATCTTCCCCAAATTTAATTTTCAGACTAGATTTGTCTCTGGGTGCAGAAACTATCTAAACAATTATGATTCTGAGGGGAAAAAAAAGTCTTAATTGTTTTTTATCGTTTGTTGGCACTAATCCTCTTCCGTAGGAAAGTGACACATTAGAGGTTCTAGATTCTTGATCCCAGCATCAGATTTTAGTTTTTGTAAAAAAAAACAACAAAAAAAACTGAATCACTGAATCAGTTTCAGGGAAATCCTGACCGACGGCAACCTTTGCTGAACCCACAGATTCTCCGCCGGGTTCTGATTGCAGACGGTTCTGGAGGATCCAGAACCTCTCTGGGGTTGGCACCGTTGCTACAGTAACGCAGGTCATTAACTCAAGGTCACATGAGTTCAGCTGCTCTGTGGACGTTCAGGTCACCCGGCGGGAGGAGATAAAACCCGGAGTGGATCATTCAGTACTGATCCATCAATCAGCAATTGGTCCGCTTTGTTCTGACGGTTATCGGTCGCTCACAGCGGATCAACTCCTGATGCATTCAGGGACGCTCCGTAAACCCCAGCTGCTGTCTGCTCTCATCTCAGTTTCACTGCAGAACCAGTCCAAACGTCTCAACAGGAAGTGGCCGGTTCTGAGGCTGCAGAAGCCAATCAGAGCTGGTTAGGCTCCGCCTCCCCAAAGGGACGGACAGAACCACACTCGGAACCACTGACACTCGGAACCACAACATGCTGGGAAACAGCGCCTCCCTCTGTGCTGGGACCTGATTGGGACTCTAACTGGTTTTACTGGGTCCATCCTGGAGGCCCAGCTTTCTTCTTCATGGTTCTGGTTCTGGGTCTACGTGACTCCAGAACCGGCAGCTACAGCACAGAGAGCAGAGCGCTTTGCAGGGTTCTGATCCGGTTAGATGGTTCTGGTGGAGCAAAGCAGCTTGTTCCACCAGAACCGCTTCCAGACAGAACCCAAATGTCAGAATCAAAACCACACATCAGGTCAGGCCGGGTCACACCGGGTCAGACCGGATCAGACTGGGTCACACTGCTCACTTTTCTGACTTTTCTTTTTCTGTTTGGAAGACGATCGAAGGAAATACGATTCCTCTGGTCCTGTCAGGAGGACAGATGACAGCAGGGGGTGTTGATCCAGGTCCACAGAACCAGAATAGAACCAGAACCAGACTCACCATACAGAGCTTTGGCACCACTCTTGGCTTTATTCCTGGGAGGATCCGGAGACGAAGCGCCGAGTCCGCTGGAACAGAGACGGATTGGTCAGAACCGCCTGGAGGCCGACTGGGCATCCAACATCCATCCAACCATCCAACCAGGCACGTGGAGAGGGGGGGCCTGGGGGGGCTTGAGCACCTGA